GGATTAATAGATTCCACTTCTATTTCCAGTATACATATATCTCTATAAGAGGCTATGAAGGACCTGCACTTGTAGAAGGGTAACCAACAGCAATAGGGGTTGGGCAGCAGAGAAATCAAATTATTTGATGGGTGTTTTTTGTGTATGGTCAAGACACACACAGGATGGATAAAGACATCATAGCCCCTTTCAGAGTTTCTAAACAAAACAGAACATGCAGCTCGGTCAGCACCAGTCCAGCATGACCAGTAGCACCTGATGATCCCTGATTGTTCTGGATTGGCCTGTGGGTGTTGCTGGTATAAATATTCAATCGTGTATCTCATTGTTTGCCTGCTACTCCTGGGCATGAAAAGAAAACGGTAATAATCCTACAGTGAGGGAAAGAATGATAATGAAACTGATCATACACATCCATAACCCTAAAATAGTATATAGTATAGCTACAATTCTTCTTATACAGTACCACCTATTAAGGAAAAAATATTTTTTTATGATTTATGAGTTTATGGTCTATTTTTGTTGCAATAGCACATTATTTTAAGCTTTAAAAATGCTCACTGATGAAAATGTCTTTATTTTGGCTAACCTTAAGTTCACACACAGCACACCTTCCATTTACACCAGTGAACAAATTACTTGAGGTTAATATGGTTTGACCATTCAATTTACATGTTTTACAGTGTTGCTGAGAGTTGAGAGTGTCAGGACCAGCGAATCCCTGCCAGTTGTGTGCCTCTTTTGGGGAATTTCGCATGTTTTTCAGTCAGCTTGTGACATGACCTTGACTCACACCTACAATCACCGCAGTCAGCCTTCACACGCAGGCGCCACTCGGGTGGGTCCACTGGGTTAATATTGCCCGTCTAGAACTGCACAACAATTCATTGAGGACAGTTCACTGCTTTATTGCACTTAGTGTAGGCGGATCAAATTTAGATCTTTTGCAGTGTAAAATATCGGTGCATTAAATAGATATTTAGAGCAGAACTGATTTTCATTGCAATACTCAAATAAGTAGGAATACATCCTTGAAAATAAGAAATAAATTAAACTTTGAAAAAAAGAGATTCAAAATCATTTCCAGAATCCTGACATTAACAAGGGCTGTCATTCATAGTTTATTGTCCTTTATAAGTCAGAAAATTGGGTTTGTTTCAGTGCACAGTAAACTAAAACACTTCACCATCTCAAATTAATGTATTACATATATATCCTACAACAATAACTTCTAATGATAGGTTGTTTAAAGATAACTCTTTCAAATCACCATTGGCTTAATAAAAGAGGATATGAGCACCTCATTTATTCCCTACATTTTAAAAATACACTAAGCTTTCTGAATCGCCACAGCAAAAGTATTACTTTTAAAGAGACTAATGTGTAAACTTTTCAGGTTCCTCTCTGTTAGTGGATTTGGGTGAAGAACTGAATGTGACCAATGCAGCACAGTGGAGGTGCCATTCTTGCACCTGAAAATTAGCCAGTTTGTTTTGGAAACTGTGCCACCAGCCCAATTGCATTTGGCACTGCTTGTATAGCCGAAGGACTGGAAGTCGAGAGACAGCTGGAGAGGCTCAATTACTTTAACATTGACCTCAGTAATAAGGGGAAACATGTATTATGAGCTGGTATAATGAATATCCTGCTGGAAAAAGCACTTACTCAAATTCCCGAAAAAAAGCTGTTAACTTTGCAATATGTACGCCACTAACCGCAGAAAAGAAAATTCAAAGGCATGAAGAAGAGATGAGATATCAGTGTGGTCAATAATATTTGATTTTTAAAAAGTCATTTAACACAAGCCTTCTATTATTTTTTCTGCTATTTCATAAATTCATCTGCAGCATGTCATCAGAGCTGAATACAGTAAGTGTGTCACAGAGAGTAGCTCTGATGATAATTATACAGTTATTCAGTAGAGTGGATGTTATCATGTTGTAAGATTTGGCTTTTTCAAGATAATTGGTGCCAAGAGACATTTCCAGGTGTAAAGGTGAATTGTGAAGGGAGTTAATATGAAGCAGAAGCAATGACAATCAAAGACACGCACAGCACATTGATTTTGTACAACTTCTTTATATCTGCTGCTTTACCCCACATAGCCAGACACATTTACTATGCATGCCCCCAGACAGCTGCAACTTCACTTTCCCGGCTCTGTCACTGGCTCAGCTTTCTGCTAATTGCCTGCTCTGTTGCTGCCCTCATTCACTTCATACACTGATGGTCCTCTGAAAAGGCTTCAGAGTGACAGACACTCTGTGCAAAGCAGAGGAAAGCTACTGCATGTTTCCATCTCTGAAATTGCTCAATGGCTATAGGTATTTGAAGTTTTTAGAAGCCTTGTATCCCAGCATGAGGTACTGCACACAGGGAAACATGTTCATCTCTGTGCACACAATTAAGCATCTATTAAATAACTTTTCAGGGGGAATCTTGTTAAACTGACATTAACAAAACGGCAAGTATCTTCCATTTAATTGTTAGCTTACATGTTGGAGGGTACCTCGTGGAGCAGAAAAGAAAATTAAGAGCATATGAACACGTTTAAAGAGCGATAAGGAATCATGAAGCTTTTTCTTACATTGGAGGGCTGTCGCTGACACATTCTTGTTCTATTTTTTTAGTTTGTCTTTTTCTCTTCAAGTGACCTGCTGTGGAATCAGTGTAGTTCATTTGCAGTTTTTGTTTGATGTTCCACCGAAACTGCTTGCAAAATTTATTCTCTGAGGCTGAATGCTAGGAATTGCAGTGGAAAGGTAGATCGGACTTGACTCCACAGTGCTTCACTAAAGGGATTCTAAACTAAATTGTCCAGCACATATTTATTGCTCCTTCTGTGCTTTCTTTTCCTGAAAGA